CTCAGCAGTCACATGGCACAGTATAAGAACATGGATTTTGGAGTTCTCTAGTCCTGGAGGGGAAGTCCAGCTCCATGACTTTATAAACTTTGTCACTGGAAAACTCACTAATCTTTCTGAACCTTAGTTTCTTCATCTGAAAAATGGGGATAATATTATCAACCTCCAGGACTATTATGAGGATTTAATAGGTAACTGTTTAAGTGTATATCATAGTGTCTGGAATGTAGCAGTCATTCAATGAATAATAGTAATCACCACTGTTATTATTGTTGTAGTTACTTATTAGGGGTTTAAGAAATTCTGGTTCAGTGGCTCAGGTTAGCCTGGTCATCCTATTCTTATGATCACATCACTTGGCTTTTGCCAGATTCCTGAGAGCCAGACTCCATTGAGGAGTGCTTGCCTTCCCCCTCTGCAGATCAGTCATGTAACATCTTGGATTCTCAGTTCTCATTTCTATAAAGTGGGGATGAGGAATTCTCCCTTGCTTATGTCATAGGAGTACTGCAAGGTTCAAAACCCAGTGGTGTGATTCATGCCAAAACATCACATGAGCTACATAACTTGGTGTAAAAATGAAAGGAGTTGCCGTTATTGTTACTGGTGCCCCAGGAGGCACCATATGGTCCACACAGAAAGACAACCAATATCTTCAGTCCTTCAGTGTTTCTCAAACTGGGGTCTGCTGGACCCTTTATAAATTCTCAGAGGTCTGCTTGTTCTCTACAAGAATTTTTAAATGTTGTGCTTTTTTATTTCAGTGAAAGTCAGATCATCAATATAAACAATCTGATCATTTGTCCCATGCTGTCAGTGCTCATGCTTGCAGTCTCAGTGGACTAAAGAATTTAACCATTGGCTCAGTGTTTCCTAAACTGTGCAGACGCATTGTAAAGGTCCACATATCTTCCTTTTGAGAAGCACCAATTTGTTCTAAGATTTGCGGCTGATGCATCACAGAGATAAAGAGCTATAACTCTGGAGAGCTCTGGCTGGTAGCTGTCTGCTGTGATCACAGTCTCAGAGCAGGGAGTGAAAACCGAGTCAGTGCTGGGCTTGGAGGAGGACTGACAGCCAGACAAGAGAGCTTGGTTCATCAGGGGGCTCCAGGACCCAGGGGCTTCTTTAAGAAATAATGGTAGAGTTCACCAATTTCTGAAAGGCTCAAGTTCACTTTATGGACATACCAATGCTATGGAAATATAAATATACATCTATCCTACCATATATAAAATATGAATACGTATATCAGCATATATATGCACAGGCATATATATGCACGTATACATACGGCCACAACATGTGAATATGTACAGATGGGTAGATTTAGTATATGAAGTTAGGATTCTTCACCTATGCAGAACACTTTAACTTTTTCAAGGCATGGTGGCATTCAGCAACATGTTTGGTTTCCCCAGTGACTCCATGAGCATATAGAGTAGGAACTATTATTCCTGATGTGGAAACTGAGGGCTGGAAAATTGCCCAAGATCACAAAGATACTAGCTGAGGATGGTATCTGGACAAAAAGCATGGCTTTTCTTTTCTGTTCTTTTCTTTATGACTCCCTGTTATAAAGCTCTCCTCTCTGACCCACAGTCTCCTTCCATCCTCTCTTCTAGCGGCCCTCCAAAGCCAGAAAAACATCCCTCCAAAGTGCGCTGTTACAAGAATGCTGTTGGCTTCTTTGAAGCTCCTGCATTCTGACAGGGACAGAAAGAACTGCAAAATAAAATGTAGCTCCCTCTTTTTGTTAAATCTTTCAAAAGCTTCCTTCCTTAGTTTCTAACTCTTATTACACCCTAATCACAAACACTCTGAAGGAGGGGGTCAGTTCCATGCAGCAGCAGGCTAATTATGTGGCGGAATTTCTAAAAATTTTCATCTTATCAATTGCTTTATTCCTCTGAAGGGGGAAGAAAGACACACAGCACATACTCGACTATGTTTCAGACTGAATTAATTAGTAATTTGAAGCCTAATTATCAACTAATCTATTGGAACATGCAAGTCTTTTGTATTTGGATGCTATATGCAATTTGCATCCTATTAGTTGGCCGTTGTAAGGATTTGAGAGCTCATTAGGTCAGGGGAAAAAAAAAAGAATGCAGATCAGAAGGAAACAGACACCCAAAGGGCTGACTTGGTGATGTTGTGACCGAGGGGTCACTTGGCAACAGATGGAGCCTGGCGATGTAATTACCTGAGGTCATTCGGTGGCTTTGAGGCCACTGATGTGTAACTTCTGTCTTACTCTGGAGAGGTGATTATGCATGCCCCCAACCTTGCTCTGTGTATTCTCAAGCAGCAGGGTGCCCACGTGGTCTGTGCTGAGAGATGTCCTGATGAAGTGGAAAAGGCATTGGGTGCTGCCCACTAACCCTGGTGCCAGGCCTCGCTCTATCACTGACTTGCTGTGTGACCCTGGCCAAGTCACACCATCTTGCTGGTTTGACTACAAGCAAATGTTTCCCTATAAGCAAATGGGACTTAGATACAGCTGACTTCCAAAGTCCCTTCTAGGACTAAGGATCTGGGATTCAAGGGGTGTCAAGAGTTTTCTTCCTTATGAAGTCAAAAATTTCATCCTTGCAAATGGTTTTTTTTGTCTTTTAAGATTTTTTTTGATGTGGACTAGCGCAGGCTCAGCGGCCACGGCTCTCGGGCCCAGCCGCTCCGCGGCATGTGGGATCTTCCCGGACCGGGGCACGAATCTGCATCCCCTGCATCAGCAGGCGGACTCTCGACCACTGCGCCACCAGGGAAGCCCTAATGTGGACTATTTTTAAAGTCTTTATTGAATTTGTTACAATACTGCTTCTGTTTTATGTTTTGTTTTTTTGGCCGTGAGGCATGTGGGATCTTAGCTTTACAACCAGGGATCAAACACGCACCCCCTGCATTGGAAGGCGAATTCTTAACCACGGGACCTCCAAGGGAAGTCCCTTCCAAATGGTTTTTGAGGGTGAAACTCTTGGTTCCCCAAATATCTTTGGACGGCCATTTGCCATTTAAAATGCAAATATCTCTGAGAAAGGTAGCATATATATCTATTAACAGCTGGGTCTAAATTAACCTATCGCAAGAAGTCCTTCTTATTTCCAGTCCTGACCCTGAAGTATTAGGACAGCCAAGGCAAGGAAGTTTTGAAGGGGAAAGAAGGTTAAGCCAGGGATCTGAGGCTGGAGATCCACCCAGAAAGAGAGACAGAGCTTAAGAATTAGGCAAGGTGTTTTAGATCCTGCCATTTTGACCTTTACATATACCCAGCCCCTGTGCCTTTGTTCTATTAGTGACCTTTGTTCCAAAAGCAAGTAGAAAATATCCATCTCTTGTTCAATTAATAATATTACTCACAGGAATAATCAACACAAAATAACATCGCTAAAACTGAGTGATATCATTTGTTATAGACAAAAGGTAAAAATCACACCTTAAAGGAAACACCGAATCATAAAGACAGGCTAGGATAATAAGCTAACTTTGTAGAAAAAGCTATCATTAAGGAAATCTGACAGTTGCTCAAACTGGCACATGGCAAAATTTTTTATTTATTAAAATTTGCTGGAAAATAAATTCAAAAAAAAATTTGCTGGGAGATGCAACCACTTTGGGAAGCAGTTTGGACTACAGTTTTGACTGTTTTGAGTTTCTCAAAATATTAAACATAGAGTTGCCATGTATCCTAGTGATTTGACTCCTAGGTTTATGCTCAAGAGAAAAACTTGTAACAAATGTTCATAGTAGCATTATTCATAATAGTCCAAAAGTGAGAACAACCCAAGTGTCCATCAACTGACGAATGGATAAACAAAATGGGATACATCCATATAATGGAATGCTATTTGGCAATAAAAAGGAATGAAGTACTGATTCATGCTACAACATGGATGAACCTTGAAAACATTATGCTAAATGAAAGAAGCCAGTCACAAAGGACCACATATTCTGTGATTCCACTTATATGCAACATCCAGAATACGCAAATCCATAAGGATATAAAGTAGATTTTGCTGGTTGCCTAAGGCTGGAGGAATTTGTGGGGCGATGGGGAATCACTGCTAATGGGTATGGGTTTCTTTTCGGGGGGTGATGAAAAAGTTTAAAAATGAGATTTTTTTTATGTGCTGATGGTTTCACAATTCTGTGAATATATATAAAACCATTGAATTGTATGCTTTAAGTGGATGAGCTGGATAGCATGTAATTAGCTCTTTAGAAAATAAGACAGGCAAAACAAAATTACATTGGCTTTGGGAAAAAACTACTGGCAATATCAAACTTCATGATTAAAAAAGTAAGAGGAGCAAAACATGACACAGGAAAAACAGACTTGTCAAAAACGATGGTCACAAAAGAAAACTCATAATTGTGCATGTTGCTAGGTAAAATTTAACATGTACAAAAAGTTATTTTATGAGTCAAGTCTTCATACCATGGAAGATGATTGCACCCAATAAAAATAACTGCAGCACATAAAAATGAAAATAAAATTTTTTTTAAAAGACAGCTTGTTTATGCCACATAAAAAAGGGAATAAAAACTAAATTGACATAATATTGTTTATGCTGTAAAACTGTTTCTGGTTAAAGATCTGTCAGCGCTAGCATCATTATGATTTAAACATTTATATTTATAAACAGTAAAACTATCACTGGTGTCAAAATGGAAGGTCAAAACCAGTGGGGTCAAAACATTTTGTATCATTCAAAGATGTGGTGATTTTGTTCTTATTGCCAAGTGGCAGAGCCGATTAAAGCTGGAATTGTGATGACTGAGGAAGGCCTGCCCACCAGCAGGGTCTCTTCCGAGGAAGCTTAGAGGTTCACCTTGAGTGTGCTGTGGTTTGACAAGCAGGGATGTGAAGGGGAAAAGGCAAAGCTTGGAAGTGCCCCTCCCACCCACGCCGTTCCCTCCAGCCAGGGACCACAGGAGCAAGCCGGGCCCCAAACACAGAAAGACCCACCATTTGAGAGCCTGCAGTGTCCTCTACTCACCAGATTTGCAAGGATATAGTGGTAGCCAATGCCGTTCTTCTCCAGCTTTACAATCTACAAAACACAACGAGAGGGGATGCATTAATCATACTGACAATTAAAGCTACACCAACAATGACCAGCAATTAACACTGAGTACTGAAAATGTGCCCTGTTCTATCCTAAGTACCCAAACTACAATATCACAACCATCCAATGGTGGTGGCATTGCTGATATCCGTGTTTTACAGATGAGGAATTGAGACTTAGAGAAGTCAAATAAACTCCCTGAAGTTACCCAGCTATTAAGTGCAGATGTAAGACCTGACATCAGTTTTGCCTGATTCCAGGGGTAGAGTAGTGGTATCATAACCCCAAGATCCAGGCTAAAATGCTCACTTTTTTCCTTCTTCCATAAAGCCTTCCCATACATAGTGGGAATCTTATGTTGTATTGAATTCCTTGTCACTGTTACAACAACATCTGCTGCTTGGGTGGACAGATGGGTGGACGGGTGGAAGGACAGTCAAATGGGTAGGTGGATGATCCCACCCCAGTTCTTGAACTTCAAATCCTTGAATGGACCATATTCAGATACAGTTCCTTCCTTCCCTGAATTTTGTGCCTTCTTCCCTAAACCCGTTGGATACTCAGACATCAATGAGCCATTCAACCCGGAAGCTGGAAGGGAATGTCAGGATCATCTGGTCCGGCCCCTCACTGTACAGATGGGAAGTCCAGGCCAAGAGAGACGAAGTGATGTGCCAGCTCCCACAGCAGTATGGTAGCAGTGTCAGGGCAAGGACCTGGCTATTGTGAGCCTTTCCATATGATGCCTGATTCAGAGCCAGGGTCCCCGAACACCCGTCCATCTTCAGTGTGCAGACCAACCCTAATCATTGCAGGCAAGAAAATATTTGTAGAAAGAACTACCCAGCGGTTTGCTTGGGCATCCAGACGTTCCACCCAGCAAGGAACAGCTAAGACCGCAGTCCTTGGTTTAGTCCTAGCTGAGCCTGCAAGTTAACTTGATCTATTTCTTTATTATTATGATTTTTTAATCGTCAAATTGAGGTTAGTACACCCTGCTCAGCGCCCCTCTCCCCGCACTGTTGCAAGGACGCATAAAACACATGAGAAGCACTTGGGCTTCTCTAACTGAATGAAATTTCAAGGTTATTAACACCCACATTCAGATATCTCTTTAATTGGATGTATGTGCATAGCGGCTCACATTTTTTTTATGTAGGGAATAATTAAATGCAAGCACACACAATGAATGCTCTGAAACAGTGGTTAGCATGTGAAATTCCAGACTATAGAGTGCCAAGACTTTTGGGATGATAGTTTTATTAATAATGCTTCATTACTTTTTCATTTTCTTGTCAAATGATTTTTTGCTCTTTCAACAATGAGATACCTTTATGAGAAACCTATTCAGCTTCTAAAAAGCACAAAATAGCAAATAGAAGATAGTTTGAAACCCAGTGCATCCAGGCAATGGATAAGAATAGTCCCTGCAGGATGAAATTACAGGTAGAAACATAGGAAACAGCCGATAATTAATGACTTTTGACCAATAAAAATCAGTAATTTCATATGGTTTGACCTAACACAAACCGTCCAACCCATCTACTCACCTACCTACCTGATGGCCTAGCTTCCCTTTCACAAACATTTATTAAGTGCTTACTATCTATCAAGCGCTGTGCTGGAGATATAGTGGAAAGTGAAACAAGCATGGTGCTTGCTGTCCTGGAGGTCACAGCTTACTGGGAGGAGACCCATACTTAAACAGATGAAGAGATACAGGTACACAGGGTTACAAACTGAGAACGTTGTTATAAAGGTAATGTACACTTGGAGTCCACTGCCTCACTCACCCCATCTCTTCAAAGCTCATTTCCACTGGATTGCCTTAATTCACAATCTTTGTGTCTGGAATGCCCTTTCCCATTCTCTCTAACTATTCATAACCTTTATGGCTGATCTCTAATCCCAACTACTCTGTAAAGCCTTCTCTGTTTAATTAATTCACTCAACAAATATTTATTGAACGTGGGCCACATGCCAAGCTCTACGCTATGTGCTAGGGACAAGCTATGAACAAATGAGGCAAGATCCCCAGGCCCTCACTGAGCTGAGTTGACACTTTAAAAAGGGAGCCAGATGGTAAATATATAAACAGATAAATGAACAAGATTTCAGCAGGTGAAAAGCACTTTGAAGACAATACAACAGGGTAAGGTGATGGATGGCCTGGTCCTGGTGTCCCTCATCCATCTCTAACTCATTCTGAACTTAATGACTGTATTACATAATTAAGTGTCTTATATATTGATAAAGCATTATATTCTAATCACCCTTTTCCCTGCTCACAAACCTTCACTGGCTCTCCACTGTTTACAGAATAAACCCCAGACTCTTTGGGGTGGTTTCGAAACGTGGTCACAATCATGGGTTCATCTCCTTTTCATTGCCTTCCAGTAAACAATTGACATCCTCCACTTGGCCTCTTAAGCCCCTCTGTGAACCTTGGCCCCTACATGCCCTCTGGGCCTCCCTACATGCTCTTACCTCCAGCTTAAAGGCTCTTTTCCAGTCAAAGGCTACCTGTAGATATCTAGACCCATCTCACATTTGGGATCTTAGAGCATTCATTGATTCCCTATTCTTCGCATTCATTCAAAAAATATTTACTGAATACCTACTAGGTGCCAAGCACTGTTCAAGGCACTGTGGATGCAGCAGGGAAGAAAACAAAACAGAAATCCTAATAGAGCTTATATTCCAGTCGGGGCACTAGAGACTGAGACAAGTAGTTAATTCCCTATTTGGAATTCGGAATCATTGTCTTCCTTCTCAGGTTAGGCAGAACATTTGTGTTAGGCTGAAAAGATCCCAATTACTGAATTGGGATAGTCTAGGATGATGCTAAGATGTCAGAATGCAAATCAGAAGATGTAACTTTTAGACTCACGGTCATTGTCACTAACTAGTTGTCTGAACTCAAGACAAATCATTCAACCAATATGACCGTCAGTCATCGCATCTGTAAAGCATGAATGCAAATGGTAGATCAGGTGATTTGTAAGATCCTTTCAGCATTTGGTCTTACTTTTCAGAATAGAAGAATCCAACGATTAAAAAAGTTAATACACTGCAATCTAAAATATTCATGCAAACAAGTTCTTTCCTTCCCAAGCACAAGTTTGTCCTTTGACAGAGGGAGTAGCTATAGACAGCACATGTGCTGAAAGTTGCATTTTTAAAAGGTTGGGCCCTGTAGCCCGACCAAGATAGATTTGACTTCCTGCTTTCCTTCTATGTGAAATCCCAGGCAAGTGTAATGTCTTGTTTCTTCCTTTATAGAATAGGGGGTCTAATAGAAGCTGTTTTTATAGAGATGATGTGAGGACTAAGTGGAATTATACATGGAAAGAGCTTGGCATAGTGTGTGGTATATGGTAAGCACTCAGAAAATAGTACCAACAGCTTTATCTTTACTATGGAATAATACAGCAGGAGTCATCAGCCTTTAAGAATACCAACTTATCGTTCAACACTATCTCTACCTCCCATCTCATCTAATCCTTTTATCAGCTCTGTAGAACAGGGGCCTTCATTCCTGTTGTACAGATGGGTACACTTATGCCAAAGAGGGAGTGACTCGAGAAAGCAGTATCATACCCGCAACAACTTGAATGAATCTCCGGGGAATCATGCCAAATGAAAAAAGCCACACCCCAAACATTACATACTGTGTAATCCCATTTATATCACACTCTTAAAATAAGAAAATCACAGAAATGGAGAACAGGTTAGAGAGTGCCTGAGGAAAGGGAAAAAGAGAGGGAGAGAGGGAAGCCAGATGAGGACAAAAGGGCAACACAGATGATCTTTATGGTGATGGAAACGTTCTGTACCTCGAAGGTATCAATGTCAATGTCAATTTCCTGGTTGTGATATTTCACTGTAGTTGCTATAGTTTTCTAAGATGTTACCATTGGGATAACTGGATATGTGGTACATGGGATCTCTCTGTTATTTCTTACAGACGCATATGAATTTGTATCTCAAAATTAAAAGTTTAACTAAGAACACAAAGCAAAACAAAAGAAAACCAGTACCAGTTGGCACTATGAATACCTAAAATAGGTAAATCCTTACATATATCACTTTCTGTGGGGCCGGCTCTATTCTAAGTGCTTTACATGTATACATAGATTCTTCTAACCCTCACAAGAGCTCTCTAAAGGTAGTTATTATCATCATTATTATTATTATTATGCCCATTTTACGGATCAGGAACCTGGCCCAAGCTCACAGAGCTAGCAAATATTAGAGCTGGGGATGTGAATCCCAGGCAGTCTAGCTCCAGGGTCTCTACTTTGAACCAGTACTCTATTCTGCTTTACTTATCTAGAATTCCAGTCCCATGACTCCAGCTCAAAAAACTCCCATCTCAATGGAAACAATTTTTGCTGGTTTCTCTCTCTAAGAGGGAAGCCATATCCGCACTTTGTAAAGTAGAACACAGAGTTAACGCCTCAAAGAACCCCTGACTTTCAAAATCTCTCCTATTCAGTTCCCGAGGCCTCTGAGCAATTGCTGAGCTGGTGCTGAGATTCCCTGTGGGAGCCCCAGGGGTCTTGAGGGCCATTAACAAGCTCTGTCATGTTGTCAAGTGCTTAAAACTGCCATCTTTACTTGTATAGCACTGTTCAAAAACGATTGCGAAATCTACTTCCTTGCTAGCGCATCTGAATACACAAATATAATTTAAAAAGACAAGTGACCTATCCAATGACACATGCTTTACTTCTGAGAACTGGAGGAACCATGGCTTAGAGATGTCTGGCTAAAGACTACTGAGATTACAGTGCCCTTTCTTGGAACGGACAATCAATTAATTGCTCAGACACATGGATGTGTTCCAGGAAAGGGAGATGCCTGGTGCCTCCTTGGACTCAAAACTGGTCAGTGGGCCAAATGGATGAGAAGCCAAATGCTAGACCAGTGGGTAACAGAACTCAGAGCTAAGCCAGGAATCTGGCTCTACAGGTTGTGATAGCAGTTTACAAACTCTAAAATGCAATGTATTTTGCTTTTTAACAAGAAAAGGAAGCACTGGAGGTAAGTTTTCGGTTAACTGATCCGAGAACCATTTGAAGTCCTGCGTGAAGGCTCCCACTGTTGGCGCTATTTCGTAACATGGCAGAATTAAACTGTATGAATTACAGAATGTGAGAAGGCAGGCCTCTGGTTTCATCTAGTCAAGAACTCTCTTTGTAACACCAAAGGCAAATGGTCACCCCGCTTGCTCATGAGCGTCTCCCACGCCCACCCTGAGGGCACTTTGCTGCACTCACTACCTGGCCCAGGATAGCACTGAGGCGCTCGGATTCACAGTCCACCACCACCAGCCTCTCCTTTTTCTTCTCCAGGTCCTGGAAGAGCATCCGGTATCCCTCCTCTGTGGTTGTCAAAATGTTGACGGCTGTCACCTGCCAGTTCTTCTCGGCCGCTGTGTCTAGGACTTTCTGCAGGACGGACAGACCTGGAGGTCGGGTGAGTAGGACAGAGAGGTGGCAGTCAGGATCCACAGGCATCACCCCACTTCCGCCAACCCCGCTCCTCCACTAAACTCAGCTCCAGCTTGCTCTTTGCAAGTCTGAGCTCACCGAGGTCAGGTTCTGCGTCTGTTTTGTGTTTCTGTTTGCAGAACATAGCACGCAATAGAGTCAGTGATCAAACATCGAATCTGAGGCTCAAATCCTGATGCTACAATATACGAGTTAAATGATCTCGTACGGACTAATTCACCTGGCTACAATTTAGTGTCTTCAGTAGTAAAAGGGTGATGTTAGTAATGTCCACCTCGCACTGTCATCATGAGGGTTGAATGAGAATGTCTCCAGCATGGCAAGGGTTTTATAAACATTGATTACTCTTAGGTGTTTAGCAACTGCTGATTAAATGTGCTAATGTGATATCTAAACAGCACCTAATAACTGTCAACCACGTTTACGAGTGTTCAGTATACCTCAGTACCTAGTGCGTCGCCTGTCACACAGTAGGTATTCAATCAATGTGTACTGAATTAAGCTACTCTCTTCTCATTTATAGCTAAATGATAGAGGAATCCATTACTCAATACTGCTTTGTTTCATCTTTGGGACATAGATGGTGTATTAGTTTCCTACTGCGGCTGTAACAAATTATTGTAAACATAGTGGCTTCAAGCAACACATTTATCATCTTATGCTGCCAGAGGTCGGATGTGTGGAATGAATCTCCTTGAGCTAAATTCAAGTTATTGGCAGGGCTGTGTTATTTTCCGGAGGTTCGAGCGGAGAAATTGTTCTTGCCTTTTCTTTTTTTTTTTGCGGTACGCGGGCCTCTCACTGTTGTGGCCTCTCCCGTTGTGGAGCACAGGCTCAGCGGCCATGGCTCACGGGCCCAGCTGCTCCGCGACATGTGGGATCCTCCCGGACTGGGGTATGAACCCGTGTCCCCTGCATCGGCAGGCGGACTCTCAACCACTGCGCCACCAGGGAAGCCCTCTTGCCTTTTCTGATTCTGGCGGATGCCCACTCTCCTTGGTGTATAGCCCCTTCCAGCTTCAAAACCAGCAGTGACTGGTTGAGTCTCTCACATTATACTCTGACCCTGACTCTTTTGCCTTCAACTTGCACACTTAAGGACCCTTGTGATTACACTGAGCTCACCCAAATAATCCAGGATAATCTCTCTGTTTTTTTTTTTTAATTAATTAATTAATTTTTTTAAATTTTTGGCTGTGTTGGGTCTTCATTCCTCTGCGCGGGCTTTCTCTAGTTGCGGCGAGTGGGGGCTACTCTTCGTTGTGATGTGCCGTCTTCTCATTGTCGTGGCTTCTCTTGTTGCGGAGCACAGGGTCTAGGTGCATGGGCTTCAGTAGTTGTGGCTTATGGGCTCTAGAGCCCAGGCTCAGTAGTTGTGACGCGTGGGCTTAGTTGCTCCGCGGCATGTGGGATCTTCCTGGACCAGGGCTCGACCCCATGTCCCCTGCATCGGCAGGCAGATTCTTAACCACTGCGCCACCAGAGAAGCCCATCTCTCTGTTTTAAGGTCAGTCGATTAGCAACGTTAATTCCATCTGTAACCTTAATCCCTCTTGCCATTTAACACAACATATTCACAGGTTCCAGGAATTAGAACACAGACGTCTTTGGCGGAGAGGGGAAGGTCATTATTCTGCCTGCAACAGATGGTTATATCATATTTCACTCTTGCATTATTAATCAATCTTTTGCACATATATCATTTCTGTCTTCCAATAACATTGCTAATCCCTCCCATAGCGACCAGTATGGTGCCTGGCATAAAGAATCATCTGTAGATTGATTCTGTTGTTTCTTCCTTTTTTTTTTTTTTTTTAAGTATAAGGTTGGTGTGCTTAAGTCTCACGTTTACTGAAAGTTTACTATGTGTCTGGCATTGCCCTGTTAGCTTTCCTGTCTTCAATTCACTTAATTCTCTGAGGTAGGTACCGTTATTATCCATGTTTCACAAATGTGGAAATGGAGGTTCAGAGAGATTTAGTCATTGGCCCAAGGCCGCACAGCTAGCAAATGGCAGAACTCTGAGTTCAGAGTTGTGAGGTAGGCGGAGCCCCTTTGAGTATGGGCGCTTTGCTGACTGACCCCAGAGATGATCCTCTATAATGAAAGTTACATTTTTCTGTCTATGCCACTTCCAGACCTCAAGCCTCATTATGCCACAAAACTGACCTGAAATAGCCCTTCTGCAGGTCATCCTCATAATGGCTGCTTGTCTGAGAAGGGAAATCATTAAAATAGAGAGAAGGGAAAATTGAAGAAAATAGAGTGCTTCTGGCCTCTCCTGCCAGCTAATTCTCATTGAATAACGCCTGCCTAACTCTTCCTGAATAACCATTTCACAAAGCACTCTCCTATTCAGAAGTCTTCTAAGCCTCCCTAAAGGCAAACTTCTATAAAACCTCCTTTTTGCTCAGGGCAAAATTCCTGTGCCTCACTTTCCAGACCTTGTATGATCCATTTATTTATTTACAACAATAATGACTGAGTTCTTACAGGACTATTTAGTATACCAGGGGAAGGTAGGACAGTACAACAGAAGCAACACAGGAGTTAGAAAAAAGAAGAGAGTTTGCATTTAGAAGGTCAGGAAATAGAGAAAGTGGTGTTCCAGTAGGTTGCAAAAGAAAGGAAGAATTTGCATATGTAGATTTGAGAAGGGAAGTGCCTCCCAGAAACTGGAATTGTTTGAGTCAAGATGCAGAGAAGAAAAAAGTATTGGAAACATTTAGAAAATGGAGTGGAAAATTCAAACTTTAGGTGGAGGCAGAATTAGAAAGGCCTGGGAAGGTTGCTGTTGGTGCTGGTGATGATGACGGCGGTTTACATATATAGAAGACCCTGCACATTGATTATGTTGTAGGCACTGTACAGGCCCTTTCTAGTCATTGTCTCATTCAGTCCTCACAACTGTATGGTGTAGAGACTGGTTTTATCTTCATTACAGAGATGAAAAAACGAAGGAATAGAGAATTTTATCCCCATTACAGAAGTGGTCAAACTGAGGCAGAGAGAGCTTGCCCAAAGTCAAACAGCTGGAGAGGAGGGAACCTAGAATTCAGATCCAGGTCTGCCTGACTCCAGAATCTATGCTCCTAAAAGCCATGTCATGAGCCATGAGCCATGAGCCATTCAACTGAGGTCCTTGGGCTTTGAGGCTGGGCTCAGGAGCCGTGGAAACTTGGTAAGCTGTAGAGTGACATGGGGTGTTAAGACGGTTATTCTCTCAAAGGACGTGTTTCCACATGTGAGTTATAGATTAGTTACCAAAAATTCAGTTCACAGACATAAAACATTTCTGGATCATTCCTCCATGACCCCTGCCTTTCAAGAAGGCAGAGAGGCACCATTATTCTTCCTGCTGATAATTTTCTCTTCATCCCTCCACAGTCCCCCTCCCCTGGCTTACCCCGGTCAGCATCATAAATGTAGACAAATTTTTGCCACTTGTAATGGTCGATGATACTGATGAGGGCATCCTGCAGCTCGGGACGCAGCTGAAGGACAAACTGGTTGGATGTGTCAACAGGAAAGCTCGGTGTAATGAAGCAGACGTGGAGGGCCCCGCAGAAGGACGTCAGCATGTTGACAGTCCTCCGTTCATAAAACCCAAAGATGGCATAGACTCCTTTAGAGAACTGGGAACAGACTGGAAGAGGAGAAGAGAAAAATTAATGGATAGAAGATACTGCAAACATGCTGTCAGGTGGCTCTAAAACTAAATCATCCACTAGTCTATCCATCCAACCCATCATCCATCTGTTATCTAGCCATCCACCCATCCAACAAATCCATCACTCCATTCTTTCAACCCACCAATCTGTCCAACTGTCCATCCATTTTACCCATCTCTGCATCCATTCACCCAATCATCTGTCCAACCCACCCATCCATCTGTCGAATCCAATGTTTTTTAGGTACCAATTCCATACCAAATGTTGTCATGGTTATTAATTATAAATGTATGCAAAGCTGTTTTGTATGCTCTTTCACTTTATCTGTACAATGCCTTTATTAAGGTAGGAAAGGGATGGCTGGGTCATTTTTTAAAGGGGAAAACCAAGGCTCAGAAAGTTAAAGAACATGTCCAAGGTAGCACAGCTAGACCATATCTGAGTTAGGCAGGTATCCTGAACCCAGTCCAGTGATCTGTCTATGACACTGCCCATCACGTCAAGGCAAAGCATAAGATGCCTTAGGAAGAAGGACTGTCAGCTTGCTGCTGATACACGTTTAAGAAAACAAGATTTTCCCAGCCAACCCTTAGTTTTCAGTGTACATTTCTCTGCTGATGTTCGTCTTGTGTTTGTACATCCTCCTGGCTGATTTTTCAGCCCCCCGCCCCGCAGTTTATCAGCCACAGTAGTAGCTTAGCTGTGTGAGCATCCCCACAGGAGCTATTTTGTAAGATCCCAGTGCAGTTACCAGTACTGGTTTGTGTTCGGTTACGCTGCTGGTTAGAATATAATGCTAAAAAGTTAGCCCCAAGGTTATGGGGCTAAGTCCAGGTAATTCAGCTACTAAACTTCATTATAATATGTGATACAGGATAAGGGTTCATAGACTTTGCCCCAGTCAAGTGATCAACCCCAATGCCAACCCCAGTGCCTGAAAATGACCATCTTGATATGGACGGTGAGGCAGACGAGTCATCCTCATCACAGTAACCGTGTTTTAGGGTGCTCTGCCATATATGGTAAGCTGTTTAGTTCTCATCACAGCCCTGTGACTTTGGTATCAGCAATTTTCTTATAAGACGATAATGTTGATATTCCTAGATCCTCTGCTCTCTTTACCGTATCACCTGCTTCCGTGACCCCGTGCTGCCTTTGTAGATGGGCTCTCAAATTACGCTCCATGAACACTGCCCAGATGTGTTCCATGAACATTAGCCCCGCAGAATGCTCCCTAACAAAGAAAAGGCTTCTTTGCTCAGAGAAATTTGGGAAATGGTGCAAACCCTGTCCTCCTCTTGGAGTTTCAAACTGCATACCAGCTACATAAAAGATTGAGAGGAATCTTGTTCAACTTTAACACGGATTTTCTCAAATCCATACGCCCCCAGGACCCTTTGTTGGTGAATACTTTTTAACATGTTACTGATTCACTGGGCCACGCTGCACTAAAGAATGCCGTTAGCCACTGGGACCCAGTTGCCTACTGAGTCTCAGTTCTCAGTCAGTCCCTAGACCCTCCCTTCATGTCCCTGAAAGATAATCTTTTAAAGACTGTAATGGAAGCATACAAGTCATCTGTCTAACTTCCAGGGTAACCCAGCATACCATCTACAGGAAACCTGGCAGGTGCCCTTTATTGTGTGTGTGTGTGTGTGTGTGTGTGTGTAAATTTAATTTTTATTGTATATTGGAGTATAGTTGATTTACGATGTTGTGTTAGTTTTAGGTGTACAGCAAAGTGATTCAGTTATACATATACATATAACCATTCGTTTTCAGATTCTTTTCCCATATAGGTTATTACAGAATATAGAGTTCCCTGTGCTATAGGGAACAAGTAGATCCTTGTTAATTGTCTATTTTATATATAGTAGTGTGTATATGTTAATCCCAACCCCCTAACATCTGCTTGCATACTGAATTACTGGGCATGCACTGCTTCTCAAGGTGCCCAGTCCATTGACTGACCACTCTTTGAAACCAGAACCTCATATGTCTGCTCTTAACCCACTCCACGGCCCTCCTGGTATCCAAAGGTGGCCCTCACAGACTTCAGCTTTATGGCATTTGGTTTTCAGTAGTGATGTTCATCCTCCACCTAGAAACCAGAGGGATCCTTTTAATTAAAAAAAAAACCCAAAAGAACAAAGAAAACACACTGTTTCCCTTCCTTGTGCAAAAACCTCTTACAAATTTTGAGGTTTCCCACTGCACACAGGAAAAATCTCCAAACATCTGACCATGACTCAGAGGCAGAGTGACCTGTCCCTTTGCCCCCTCCTGCCTCACACCGCTGCCCTCGCTCCCTGCTTAGCCACCTGGCCTTTGTTCTGTGCCTCCGGCCTCCACACTTGTTCTGCCCTGGAGACTCTGTGCTCCACCTGCAGTGCTCTTCCCTTACTTCTCTGCAATGCTCACTCTTTTCAGCAATTTTATCTCAACTCAAATCTCACCTCCTTGAACAGGACTTCCTTCGTCACCTCTTCTAAATAGTGATTCCACCCTCCCCTCAACCCTCTATAAGTCTCTATCACATCCCCCTGTCTTATCTTTCATGCTTGAATTATTATTATTTGAAGGTGTTTTCTTTTTTACTTGTATGTATCTGTGACTGTTCCGGTCAGTGGTAATTTCCTAAAAACAGGGGTCTCATTTATGCCCCAAAGCCAGCATAACGCCTGGTACATGGTAGGTGCTTAGTAAATGTTTGTTGGATGAATGAAGAGTGCTTGACGAGAGCACTGCACTAGGGAATGAGGAGGAACCATTGGACCACCCTGGACCTCTTCTTCCCCTGTTCTGGGTAGGCATCTCCTGAAGTAGCTATTTATCCTTCACTACTCGCACTCTTTTCTCTTTCACCCTAACAAGGACGCTCCAGCCACTTGCAGCCGACAACAGGTGCTGTCTTTAAGTGTCTATTGTAATTGCCAGAATCAAAATTTCCATAAATATGGATTTCTCCACCAGGAAGCATACACTGTATATTATTCTCCCTGTGTTAGATATAGATTTGTCAAAAAGCACAATCCATCTTACCGGGTGAGGTGTGTATGGCGAGCACATGAACCCCGTTAGCGTATTATAATATGCTCTCTGCGGTATTTTTAGGATCTTTACTTTCCATGCTGCAATGAAATATTATCTGGGGGGATATAAATCTCATGTTCCCGATCTATTCCCTGACGACATCTACTTGGTTTCACACCTTTAGTTGGGTCTCTGGGGCCCTCGTGGCCAGTGTTTCTTGCTGAAACTTTAGAAGTAGAGGAGGAATGGGTAAGATGGGGTGGAAGAAATGGGCGCAGATAGGCACGATCGAATCCTTACACACACGGAGGCCAGGATGTTTCCCCCGTCCTTGAATTATCTCCCCATGTTTCCCTTTTGCAAATCTCTTTTCCCTTAAATTGAGTGTGTTATCCTCTAAGGCCAAGCGGGTACGTTTAACCAGAGCTCCCGAAAAGAGCATGGCTTGGAGGTAGCCTGGCCTGGATTTACTCAAGTGGACCCTGGTCCTCCGAGTTGCTCAGCATTTGACCTTCAGTCTGGCTCCTCATTTCAGCTAAGCCTGAGCAGCAACAGTGAGGGAGAGGGAGAGACTAAGAGTCTGTAGGCCCCAAGGCCTATGGGAGAATGCATAATTGGTTACACGTTCAGAAATATAATTAGTTGTAGCACATTTCTTTAAATCTGTCACAGTAAATATTCAATTAGAAAAGATAACTTGGTCTCGTAGAAAAAGTACTAGATTAGATGCCAGAAGACATGGAGGCTTCTCTTTTTGGTTTCAGCACAGCACAGTATTATGTGACCTTGAGCCAATCCCAGGCTCTCCCTGCGCCTCAGTTTCCATCTGTAAATTGGTGCTTTGCACCCCGTAAGAGTTAACATCTCTTCAGGCTCCAACAGTCTACGTTGTAGTCTAAGTAGTTGAAAAATATTCACTGATTGAGCACACTTTGGTTATTTGCTGGTCAGACTTGTAGCGACCTCCGGTGCAGGTTTTCAAACCTAGAAATCAGATAAAGGCTCTGAGTTCTTGGATCCGACTGTAATAGAATCCTAGCACTAAATCCAGGTGCATTCAGAGCGTTGAGTTGTATTTAAGATACAATTTTTAATGTGATATAGGTGAGTTAGTTACCTAGTAGAGAGTAGGTGAGAGAAGGCAAATCAGAAAGGGGGCTAGAGGGGGAGCCTTGTATTGTCAGGTACAGCAAGCCCGAGGGGAGAAAAGGGAACACTGAACACTGAAAAGCAGCCTCTTTCAACCCTGCTGTGTACTGGTCCAGTCAGACTCGCAGGCTGACAGTGAATGAGAGTAGGTGGGACTGTGTGCGTGTTCTCCATTTAAGACAGCAGTGATGCATATAGTGCCTCTGATAGTAGCAATTAGGAGCTGACGTTTGAGCACTTACGAAGTGCCAGACATCGTGCCAAGGACATTCCCGTGCATTGACTCCTTTCATCCTGTGAGGTAGGTTACAAATTGGGAAGGGCAGGCCCGGGGCCAGCACAATGCAAAGCTGAGTTCTGAACTCCACCAGTCAGACCACAAGGCTTGAGCTCTTGACTTCTGTGATTTGCCACCCCTTCCCTCCCTCCAACAATATTGGAAAGAAACAGTCATGGCATATGGGACAGCTTCAGCTTCTAGAAAATTCTCTCAGGTAGCACTCTGCCTGCCTCTGTTGCCAGATCAAGACGCATTACTGCATTAGGGTCTGTTGATATTAAAACAAAACCTAGAGACTATCATACAGAGTGAAGTAAGTCAGAAAGAGAAAAACGAACATCGTATAATATCGCTTACACGTGGAATCTAGAAACATTGTACAGATGAACTTACTTGCAAAGCAGAAATACAGACACAGATGTAGAGGAGAAACATATGGATACCAAGTGGGGAAGGGGGTGTGGGATGAATTGGGAAATTGGGATTGACATATATACACTACTGTGTATAAAA